AAAATACAGTTGGATATTTACTGTTAATAGCAGATGGAGACTTGAATAAACTCGGTGATATTAACAGGCTTTCTAAGAAATATGGTCTCACCAGAATATTACTTTTTTATACATTGATATATGACACTGAATTATTTTTACTTAAAACACACCAGCAAAATTTCATCTTAAAAAATTCAACAGCAGAATTTCAATGGGACTGCTTTGGACTGGCTATTCAAGATCCTGGTCTTTGTTTTCAAGTCTTTCCCCACCATATTTAGCCTCACTGCTGACCTGCTATGTCCCTGCAAGATCATTACGTTCGGGTCAGAGTGACCTCCTGGTGGTTCCGCAGTCAAAGGTAAGTCCAGGGGTGATCGTGCCTTTTCGGTTCTGGGTCCTGGGCTTCGGAACCAACTCCCACTAGAAATAAAACATTCCACATCACTGCCCATTTTTAAAGCTAGGCTAAAGGTTCGTCTAGTTCTTAGCTTTTGTACTTTTTAATGTTCTGATCATTTTTATTTTATGGCTTTTTAAATCTTTTACTGTCTTTTAAATGTTGTATTTCTGCATTTTATATAGCTGTTTTATTGTGTTTCAGTTGTTCTTAACACTTTGTTCAGTACCTTGGGTCCCCTTGATTGGGGTAGGAAGGGGCTTTATAAATAAAGTTGAGTTGAATTAAAGTGGAATCAACTCGATTGAATGATGATTACTTTGCTTTGGTCACCAGGAGGTCACTTCAGCTGTTGAATTTTTGCTGTTGAAATTGGCTCAATCCCTATTCTCCCATTTCCACCCTTGCGCCCTTCAATTGTGTTCCCAAATAGGGGTGCCAGTATGTAGGGTGTCCCTATTCTCAAGTGCAAAAGGTGACCGTACCCCCTTTGCACCCTTGATTTGCACTTCACCCAAGTCCGCTTTGATGAAGACTTCAGGCAAGGGTGTAACCCAGGGGTGGGCAATTATTTTTACCATGGGGCCACATGAGAAATAGAAAATATTGTGGAGGGCCAGGCCAAAAGGCTGAAGTCAATTATGCATAATATTAATGGTATTTCTTTATAAAAAGCAGTAAATACCATTGTTTCTTCAAGCTGGTAAGAGTAGACTATATGTTATAAATGAGCAAAAAGGAAAAAGTGAGGTTGTCTTACAAAAATGTGATTTATTCAAATTTCCCAAGGCAATGGTAAACAAAGTGTGCACATTTGGTTTTTGTTAAACATTTGTGACTTATATTAGTTAACAGTTTCAGTCACATTCACTCCAAAACACATTTTGAGTTTCAAATATTGTTGGAAAGAGGTTCTTAGCATTCTACAGACACGCAGTATTGTCTGTAAAATAAAATCACTGAACTGTGATCTTGAGAAAGAGGTTTAAAAAAAAGTGTCCCAGTTCACTGCTAGTTGCCTACATTTGTGGTCCAAACACCTTATTTTGTGTTTTTAAGCAATTTTTTTCTTATTCAGTGAGAGAAATCTAGTCTCTGCTGGGCTTTAACGAGTGCATCAAAGTCAGGTTGAATGTCTGAGGTGGAGATGCGAAGCACAGCTGACAAATGATCATCATTGAGAGAGGATATATACCTGGATTTTGTAAACTTCATCATTGAAAATGTTTGTTCACAAATGTAGGTAGAGCCGAAGAGAACCAACATCTTCTGAGCATGTCTCCTCAGGTTTGGAAAGTCCTCCTTAAGAGAAGAGTAGAAATCCAGCAGAGATCCTGAATCTCTGCTTTCGAGTCCCAAACCCTCTTCAGCACTTTCCCCAGGCTGAGCCATCTGACAGCTGTGTGGAGTCCTCCAAAAGAGCCACAAACTGTCTGTGATTCATCGCCCGTGCCCTGATGAAGTTTATTATTTTAGTAACAACATCAGTAACATGGTTGATTTTTAGCACTGACTTGCACAACACATGTTGGTGTATAATACAATGCAAAAACACCTATTTTTGATCTGCATCGATTTCTGTCACTTTATCTTGCATGCGTTTCAAAAGTCCGACATTTTTCCCTGTAAAGCTGGGCGTACACTGTGCGACTTTTTCACTCGCAGCACTCAGCTTCAGCTCAAACTGTACGACTTCCTCGCAGAGCAGATCTCACGAGTCATGTGATCACACTGTACGACCCAGTTCTCGTATGCGACCTGACTGCTCACACTGTATGTCTGGTAGCAACACGTCGGCCCTAAAAATGTGCTAAAAATAGCAGTTTTTACTCAACACGTCAGACTTTTTTGTCTTGTCTTGCCTGTTGTCCTTCGGGAGTGCTGCAGGAGGACACACAGGGATTTATGGGGGTTGGATGAGGAAAACGAAATAAAGACAGTAAGTCTGTGTTTTGTGATCAGTTTAATTTGACATGAACACGACAAACACGCTTTCTTGACAATCTTTGTGAGTAAAAAAAACGTGTAGAAACAAAAACGAACAGCGTGTGTTATTAGGGAAATAGCGAGCGACCGGCGTTGATGCAGGATTGCGCATGCGCCGTGAGCGGTTCTGATACTTTTTGGGTCGCAGCTGCTCGCAGCGCCCCTTCAACAGTGCGATACCCTCACGAGGGACGAGCGAAATATTAAACACACCAGAAGTCCGTGCGACCTCACGACTGCTGATCGGCGGCTGGTCACGTGGTGTTAATCGCCTCTCGTAACCCCCTGTACACTACACGACCGCTCGGCGCAAAACTCGCCCCGATGTCGTGGATTCTCGCACGACTGGAAAATCGGCTCAAAAAAGTGAAAAAGTCGCACAGTGTACGCCCGGCTTAAGATTTGGACAACCGTCTGTTGTGACACCTGACAGTCTCTCCCATTTCAATCCCAGAGTGTCCATGCACGCATTTACCTCTGTAAAAAGATCACTCCCTGTCGTTGTCCCTTTCATCGACCGCATTGCTGCCCGCTCCTCTGTGAGCTCCGTTATCCCCAGACAAATACGAGCAGCTGGGCTGTGTCCCGGACATCACAGCTCCCGTCTAATGAGAAAAAGTCAAAACTTGCCACTTCACGTTGCAGCTGAAGCTCCAGGTTCCCCGCAATGTCCTCGATCCTCCTGGTCACGGTTCGCCTGGACAGCGGGATTTGCTCAAATGCGCCTTTTTTCAGGGCATATTAGTGCGGCAGAGTCCACCATGCACTCTTTGACAAACTCTCCCTCCGAAAACGGCTTGCTGTTTTTAGCTATTTTGTGGGATATCACAAAGCTGGTCCTGGTTGCTGCATCCCTGGATGTGTGAAGCTTAGTAAAACAGCCTTGCTGCTTTTGCAACTTTGCTAGCAAAGCTTCGGATGTCCGTGCCCTCTCAGCATCAGACAAGTTCTTGTATTTTTCCGAGTGTTTCTTGTCGTAATGCCGACTCAAATTGTAGTCCTTAAACACGCAATCTCCTCCCCACAAACCAAACACACGGCTTTACCTCCGACTTCAGTAAAAAAAATACTTAGCAGTCCAATTTTTGTTGAAAATCCTGCATTCGGCATCTTTCTTTTTTTTTTTGCATGAGCGGACATTTCTGGGGCTACAATCACCATGTCAACCGCGGGCACTTGTTGCTATACGTATTGCGTCATTGTGCACGTAAAAAACAACTTCAAAATAAAAGCAATGCAGCATTAGCCCATGCATGAGGTAAAATGAGAAAATACATTTATTTTGTAATTTCCAATTAACCTTACGCGGGCCGGTCAAAGTCAACCAAAGGGCCGTATGTGGCCCGCGGGCCGTAAAATGCCCAGGTCTGGTGTAACCCATAATCCATTGCTGCATGGGAATATTGAGAAGAAGGTGGAGCAATAGCTCAAGTGCCTTTTCTGAAAAAATGTATTTTGAAATGACAGAAGTTAATTTTATGTATTCATGCTCTGAATGTTTTCGACTAAGATTTGATGTGCACCCCCTCTAAGTGCACGTCACAGAAGGGCATAGGGTGCAGTGCGAGTATTGGGATTGGGCCATACAATTGAAATTTTACAGATGGAATTTTTTGCTGGTGTACTTTAAGTTCAAAATTGTTCATATACGCAATTTCACAGAAAATAAAATACAATTTCATAAATTCTGTGACTAAAAAATAAGTCATTTTCTGGTGAGACTGTTTTTCTTCCATAGATTCCCACCATCCAGCAACAGCTCTCACCGTCTCAGGCTGGTTCTCAAAGATCTCCCTGGCCTCCTCCTTGTTGCACAGCTCCTCGATGCACTCCCTCTCCAGGTTCCCCTTCTTGCTCTCCTCAAACATGGTGTTTGCTCTCCTGTGCCTGCTCAGGAACTGAGAGGCTGTGTTCTGGCTAAGGACTGGGACAGAAAGTCTCAGTTAGACGAGATGTAGAAAGCTGTATTTTATTTCCTTTACCCCATATTTGCTGTAAAAACATTAAAACCAAACACACACTTTACTGTGTAAAATCTCTTAAAGTACCCCTCCACCCTTTAAAATAATTTTCTTTGAACTTTGGCTGTTTTTTCACATCTTTTTTCAATGTTAGCTAGTTTCACGTAACTCTAACCTATACTGTAGTCATCTAAAATCAGAACAGACAAAACAGACAATTTGCAAAAGAAATATTTTATATATGACATAGGTTATAAGTTGAAATTTCTTCACATTTTTTATGTTATTATTCAAAATCTTCAAATACAAAAACTGTTTAATGCATGAACAACATTTTAGCATCAAAAAGAAATTTACAATGAGTCATTAGCTGAAAACTTGACATAGACCAACTGTTTATTTTTAATGTTTTTGCATAACATTTCCTTTTCAATGGCTTTTTGTCTTCCACTTGTCACCCTGACTGATTTTTAAGCATAGGAACAGGAACTGAAGAGGAAATGAAAGAAAAGTGCAGCTTAAATATAAAGAAAGACTTTGTAAGACTTTTAGAAATCCACAAGTTATTCAGGAAGTTAAAAACCTTTACAGATTTTTACTTGAATAAAAACACAAGACTGCATTGAATTTAAACAAACAAGGAGGCACCGGTCCTTTCTGTCAGCTCTTTGATGAATTTAGATATTTTGTTTTTATTTCTTGCAGATGACCTTCAGACATACAGGCTATCGGTTGTTAATAATTAGCAGGACTGACACTTTTTGTCTTGTTTTTAAAGTGCAAAAAAATCTTCCAAAATCTCATAAAATAACTAAATAACTGATCAAAACAACCTTCTATAAAAGTCTATCTGCTTGGCAGCTAAATTATGGTTGGTTTAAATCTTTTGCACACTACTATAATAGAAGTGGACAGATCCTTTCTGTCCTCCAGACACATGGTTCCCATAGCTGCTGCCTCCTAATTGCTTTTCTATGAACAGAACCATTGCGAAACCCGTCATTTCCCAGAAACAAGCCCCGGTTGTTGTAAACAGATTTTTGTTTCCCGGTGCATAGAAGTCACGGTCCTTCAGAGTTGCTTCTTTCAGAGCCTGAATCTGGTGCGTAAAGGTAAATCATACTTACATCGATCAGCGTCGAGCAGCGTCACCAGAAACATGAGACAAGCCAAGGGTCTCCCTAGGGCCCGCTTCATTTCAGAGCCGTTCTTCCTGCTGGGCCAAGCTCTGGTTCTGGGTAAAGACCGGCTGAGCACAGCTTACTGGAAGAATAAAAAAACTAAACTTTTTTCCTCCCGAAAGTGTTTTTGTAGAAAGAGGAGGAGGTGGGGAGCACGTTGACACACTTGGCCCTGTCTGCCTTTTGTTTACTCTAGGAGGCTGAACTCATGCAGAAAATGGGTTTACAATGCAGAACAGGGGGCCCAGGACACAAAGAACCAATACTGACACACACCACCAGGCCTTCATGTGACATGCATGCTGTTTTAGAAGGTGCTATGGGGTGCAGATTGTAAAAGTAAAACATGTATTCGCTTTTTCAACATGTTGATCTTGGAGTTTTAAATGTTACATCCAAATGTTCAGGCACGAATCAGTAAACAGTCAGAGTGCAGGGGCGCCTCCAGAAAATTTTGATAGGGGTGGCCAAACAGCGCCAAATTTTTTTTTGGGGTGGTATATGGAGCTAGGATTGGGACAATATTCAGCGTAACTTGTACCAAGTTTTGTAACTTCGAACATGTTTCATCACATGTAACTTTGGATTCGTAACTTGTAACTTTGGATTCATAACTTGTAACTTTGGATTCGTAACTTGTAACTTTAGTTTTCTAACTTATAATTCTCAATTCGTACTTGTATTTCTTGTTTTGTAACAGGAACATTGTATTTTGTACATGTATTTTTTATTTTGTTAAATCAAACTTTTATTTTGTACATTTACTCATTTTGTAACATCAAACATTCATTCAGAAACATGAAACTTTCGTTTTGCAACTAGCAAACTTCCAAATTGAAAAAATGAAGGTACAAGTTTGAAATCAAAACTCTCAAAACACACATTTCATTTTACAGGTACAAACTATCAAAGCACAAAGAGGACTCAAATGCAGAGCTCACACAGTTTTAATAAGCAGAAGGGATTCCTGGAGTACAACACAACTGAAAAGTCCAAAACTAACTGAATACACTTTTACCAAATGTTTCTGAGAGCAGGTTCACATCACACAACAGGAGAAGACAAACTGGCAAAGAAAACTGTTGCAAAGATGCTTAAATGGAGAAGCCAGGACCCAGGTGCAAGACATGAGGCAGATTAGTGAGGAGCTTCATGTTGTGAAGCTGCCTGTGATGAGACAGGAAGTGAATGCACAAAATAAAACAGGAAGTACCAGAAATACAATAAAACCAGAAACAAGACTGCAAAGCACTCAACCTGCAGAATCACCCATGACACATACCTCAAATCTACAGTGTTACAGATCTTTTTGTCTCGATTCTAGCGTCAGTGGGAGGAACTTGGGTGGAACCAATGAGAGCACGAGTCTTAGCTACCAATCAAGTTTCTCGAATTCCTGTCCAATCATTGGGAGAGGAGGGCAGGGTTCTGTCAGAGCTGTAGAAAGGGAGAGTTACGACACTCTTTGAACTCACCGACTCGCGGTCACGTGGTTCGTGGAGCTCTCAGTTCCAAAGATCCCACAGCGCCGTAAGTCAGTTTGAACAGCGTATGGTGGGACAAATCACAAAAACTTAATATAATCACATTTCCCTTGGCGATTCATGGTAATTATTGAATAATATTATATATTATATTATGTCCTAACTCCTTCACAAAGTAGCCAATTTATATTTTTCCGAGCATTTGTAGGAAGACTAACACCCGTGACTGTTCTACATTACAGGAACACGACAGTCCTAACACACTGTAGAACACATTTAGACCACATACATTACTATAATATACTATAGCAATAAATTTGATGTAGTAATGCAGCACACTGCTCTAATATAAGCATATTTAATAACTAAGTCCTACAAGAAGCCCTAAACTCGAGTTGTAATATCCATTTTAAAGTGTTAATTGAAAGCTAAATTCTGCTCCAGCTTACCTTGAAGAAAATATGTAGCTGTTTATGCTTTGAATGATGATCTATTATGTTCAGTAGAATACATTTTACAATCATTACTTCATATTTTTATGTGAAGACAGTACGTGCATCTATAACCCAGTTTATCTGGCTTCTATAGCAACTAATTAAAAAGAAAATTTCAATAAAACTGTATGGTTCATCACAGTAGATAAAAAGTGTTATTTGTGAAAAAATGAACACCAAACTTGTACATGTATAATAGCATTTTTAATAAAGCATTTTACCAACATTGTTTAGTCATTAAATATGCACAAATAAGCTGAATCATTAATTATGAGCAATGTACTCAAGACCTAATGAAGCTATTTTGAATAACTTTATTTTGATTATTATTAAAATAAAATGTGTCGGTGGGTTAAAATTTGAAATGACTAATTTTAGGGTTGGATAAAATTTTAAAATGTAATTTTACATCTCTATATTTTTGGTTTAGATCAATATTTCTATATGTACAAAAATAGTATTTTAATAATCCCTTTCTAGGTTGAATATCTTACATGGTTGGCTGCGCTGCATATAGCAAACGGTCTGAGGGAGGAATCAGAATTACGGCTTCCCCAAAGACGCAGAGAGAAGAAGAAAATGGTTGGCTCAAGTCAGCAGGAGCAACCTCACCATGACCAGAGATCACAATAACAAAAAGCTGTGTGCAGTGAGTTTAATGTGCACTCTCACATGTTTTCTATCAAGGCTCCACATGTTCTGCTCTCAACTGCACAAGGCTGCAATTAAACTGTTAAATGTGGCAGGGAATAAACTACAGTAATACACCACTCTACAGGCACATTTTGACGAGGGACAGTTTACTAAGACTAGGCTAGGCAAGGTGAGACTCAGGGCTGATGCTGTGTTTGTTCATCGCCCTGAACCAAGGAGGAGGAAGGACCCTGCAGTGAGAAGTACAGCAGAACCACTGCATGTTGATCCACTGACCAGTGACCACACATGTTGTACTCAAGTAAACTGTGGTACAAATCTTTTGAAATATTAAGACATTTTTATTTATTTTATTTTAAAACGATTCTTTATTCTAACAGTGCCATTGTAATTTCAGAGAATGAGGAAAGCAGCAGCAGCAGTGAGGCAAATGAGATGAGGGAAAGTGAGAGGGGACATGAGATGGTATCAGAAGAGAGGGACATCCCAGGAAGCCATGAGGAGCCGGCGTCAGGGCCAGTTTGAGAAAGGAACAGGCTATGCAACCAGGGAACCCAGCTGGAAAACCTAAGGGAGGAAACAGAAAGTCAAAAAGGCATGAAAAACACAAGAGGCATTAAATGGAGTAAACAGACAATCAAAAAGGCCGTACAGGTCTGTTTTTCAGTGCGTTCAACAGGCTACAGGTTTCTTCAGGACACAAGTATCTCTCTGCCTGATGTTAGAACCCTGCAAAGACAAATGCAGCCCATTAACTGGAACCAGGTGTGCTAGGAGAGGTGTGTGACATGCTCAGTTTGAAGGTTAAACATCTGACAGAGATGGAAAGAGAGTGTGTGCTTACTGTGGATGAGATGGCAATCACTTCAGGTGTGCATCACTCCATCACAGACCCAACTGGGTTTTGCCACCACCGTTGTTCCTGGTCAGCTCTCCGCTCAGCCACTATGAAAACATGAAGATGGACACACAACACAGTTTAACCTTTAATGGTTACATAAAATCTTTGTTTTAGTAACTCTTTGACATTTATTTATTGACAATTGTGTTATTGTTAATTCTTATTTCTTGTCATTCCTTAATAACAAAATTGCAAATGCTAATATTATAAAGCAAGTGGAAATGAGCAGTTTTATGGAAAATGTCTAATTTTTAAAAGTTATTGTTCGACTACTATTCTTGAAATATCGTAATTTTATTCTTAATACTTGAGTCCACAAAACAGAACAACATATCTTCTTACGTTCGTAATCCTGTTTGTCTCATGCTTCAGCAGTTTGTTGTAGTCAGTGTTATTAACAGAAAAATATTAAATAATTACTTGTCTTCACAATCACATGTTCTTTATTATTCTCTCCATTTGTGCTTCCATTTCTGATGCATGTTCGTGTTGATACAGCAACCAGCAACGTATTGTACAAAAATCCCAAATAAAACTAATAATGTAAAAAGTTTATAACCTATTTCAAACTGTGGGGAATATTTTTAAAACATAGAATCAAACAAACTGAAATAAACCCGTCTACAGCTCGTCCTCCTGCTCACAACCAACAAGCTGCACACAGTTAGCTCATTAAAGGTTATCTAGCTAAAACTGGCTATATAAAATATCATTGTTGGCTTATTTTGGTACGAAGCGGTTAGCTAACGCTTCACAATGCAACAAAATGATGACATTTCATCAACTTACCGGAGAGAATCCTTCCAAAACACCGAAAATGAACTGCAGTCAATGCAGCAGCAGGGGCTGTTTGGAACTATTCGAAGCAGTGTTGCCAGATCCAAAATCCCACAATATCGTACAGAGAGGCTTAAATTATCATTTTTCAGTACAAATTATCGTACATTATAAATTTGATAATAACGTTCTATAAACGACTTCTCACGCCAATATAATATAACAAAGAAGATGTTTTATATTGCCCTGTTTAAATACACATCTTTAAAACCAGTAATATAATGCCTATAAACGTGCAGAGTGTGTCGGCACCACTCCGACCTCCACGCATTGACACAACATGCACATTTGTGCAGTCCTATTTATGTCATTTCTACATAGGTTAAACGCACGCGACAAAACATCACAGCAGTGGAAAAACTGACCCAATAAATGACACAGCAGCCTACTCACCTAGTTGCTGACCTCGATCTCCTCATCTGATTCACTGTCTGTCGCAGCAGAATGCCTTTAATCACCTGTACTAAGTGGTCTGTGCATTGCAATGATGTGCTCGGCTAAAAAGCCACATAGCTTGATTTCAGCATTTTTCACATCATTTTCAAACTTCTCTTTTTCATTAGTTTGCTGGAGACATTTAAGTATAGATGTCTGGTTTGGCGCAATGCATTTTACCCTTTCTTTGTGTTTAGCTCCCTTTGCATGATTCTAGAGAACGGTGATTTCTGATACCATCTGGATGTTTCAGCAACAACAGAAAGCCTTGGTTTCGTTCCCCGTAACAGGTGCAAGCCATCCTTTGAAAATAGGATCCAACTCCCACGCAGGACAAAAACTTGTGTCGGGTGTTGCTTTGCTTTACCTTCATCCATCCCTTCTCTGGTTTTTCTTTTAAGATTAGAAGCCATTGTCTCGTCGCTCTGTCCTCCTAGCTTAGACTTAACTTGGCGCGCTCGCGGGCAAACAGCAAAAACTGGCGGGCCACTGCCACATTATATAACCTTACAGTTTCTCGCGAGAGTAGGCCCTATCAATGTGATTGGGCTATTTATTGTACAGATCCAGAGTCAGTTTTTGTAATAGACACAATAGCATAAACCTGTAAGCACTGAGGTGAAATCTGACTTCAGAACAGTTTAAAATTATGTAATTGACTTGGGAAAGCCACAGCAAAAGACGGTGTTACTAGGTGCAATGTGAAATTATCGTACATTTGAGGATTTTTGAAACTATTGATGGTACATCGTACAGAGCCCAAAATTATGGTACAAATACGATAATTATCGTACATCTGGCAACAATGATTCGAAGCTACATGAGCCACGTGACTCCCGCATTCCATGTCGTAACTCTACACTCTGACAGAACCCTGCCCTCCTCTCCCAATGATTGGACAGGAATTCGAGAAACGTGATTGGTAGCTAAGACTCGTGCGCTCATTGGTTCCACCCAAGTTCCTCCCACTGATGCTAGAATCGAGACAAAAAGATTCGTAACACTGTAGATTTGAGGTTTGTACCTGTTGAATGAAATGTGTGTTTTGAGAGTTTTGATTTCAAACTTGTACCTTGATTTTTTTCAATTTGGAAGTCTGCTAGTTACAAAATGAAAGTTTCATGTTTCTGAATGAATGTTTGATGTTGCAAAATGAGTAGTAAATGTAAAAAATAAAAGTTTGATTTTACAAAATAAAAAATACATGTACAAAATAAAATGTTCCTGTTACAAAACAAGAAATACAAGTACGAATTGAGAATTACAAGTTAGAAAACTAAAGTTACAAGTTACGAATCCAAAGTTACATGTGATGAAACATGTTCGAAGTTACAAAACTTGGTACAAGTTACGCTGAATATTGTCCCAATCCTAGCTCCATAGTGGCACACCAAATTGGTCCTTGTGTTAACTGAGAGAGTTTAGCCTGTGGCGATGTACTGCATTGTTTCTTTATTCGTTTTTATTTAAAAAAATAAACTATGCATCCAAGACATTTTACTTGAATTTTACAAACACAAACATTTAAAAAAATACACATCAGTTATTTAAAATGTTATTTCAAATTTTATTTTAAATGTTTTTTTTTGTTTAATTCATCTGTTGCTGTGTTCACAAAAATTATGGCGATAAAAAACTTTTTTAAAATGGTGAGCAGTAGAAACAAAACATATGTATTGTTTTAAATTCTGATTATTTCTTTACTCATTAATTGTATTAATTTTATTTTGTTTTACAATTATTTCTTGAATAAACAAGATCAATTTATGGTTTGACTGAAAATTAATGTGATTTGTTAAGCAATTTTGGCCACCCCTTGGGGGCACCATTGTCAGAGTGAAACCTGAATTCAATTACTTCAAAAGTTTTCAAATTAAGTCTAAATATACAATATAAAGTTTTATCTATCATTCTAGTTATAAATTTGGTGATTTTAAACTAAATATTTAGCTAACATGCAAACTGAAACAACTAATAACAGCTATAAAAACGAAGTGATGAAATCTCCTGTCAATGTTTTTTTAAACATTACATTTTTGTGTTTTTATTATTATTCCTTAAATGGATACTTTGCAATGTTTTCATATTTAAAATTATGATTTTGAGCCAGTATGTGCTAAATTGACCCTTTACAAAATTAATGAAATGTCAGTCAGACCCCCACTGCCCTTTGTGACCAGAATACCGCAACTGCAACTTCAGAGTGCCGGTCAGGTCTGTTGGACCTGAGCTGGTATGCCTAGCACTGCAGTCTGCTTCCAGAACATTTTAGATCATGAACCCAACTGGTTTGCTTAATTTAGTGATGAATCACTCCTGTAGACACAAATGAAGGCTGGGGAGACATTTCAGCAGTTAGACTAAGTTGTTAAAGAAACAAATGCATGGCAAAGAGATACGTTTAGCTTTTGGTTCCACTAAACGGACACTAGGCGGTACTAAAGCCAAAACTGCCTAGTCTCCCTTTAGCACTGTTTTGTACTTGATTTATCCTGCATTTTGTTTTATGATTTATAAAGTGCTCTATGAACAAAGTATAGAGTTACCATCAAATGGATTAGGAGATTTTAGTTAAAGGATATCTTCATGCTCTTACTTTGGCTGGCTGTAAAAAGTCTACATGAGTTTCATTTTAGAATCAAACAAACATAAACAAAAACTGTAACTGATACATTTTAAAACTTGACTGAAGGTGACACAATCATTATTGCATCTTGGACATTATTGTTCTATAGTTACAGGGAATCCAAATTTGGTCCTTTATTTTAAAGGTAATTCTGTAATATTTCTGAGTTGTGAATGTGTAAAGGAACATTTGGCATCACCAAAACACCTAATCACCATCAGAGGAACATCCAGAAAGTTTGGTGTCCAGATGGGGGCCACTGACAATCTTGGGGTGGTAAACCAAAACTCGAATCTATGACCCAAATTAACAGCAGGCATTGATTTGGACTTGAATGGGCTGAGAAAGTTGGCATAGTGGTGGAGATGATATCATGTTGCCTCACAGTGCAGGAGTTCAAAGGTTAATAATCTCAGCTGCAGACCTTCTGCATGTTCTCTCCATTCATGCGTTTTCTCCAGGTACTCCAGTTTCCTCCCACAGGCCAAAAATCTGCATAATTGGTGACTCTTAACTGTGAGTGTGACTATTTCGTTTTGTCTCTGTGTCCCTGTGGTGAACTGGAGACCTGTCCAGTGTCTCCTACCCCTAGCCTGATGACTGCTGAAATAGGCATCAGCTCCAAGAAAGGTTATTAAGAAGAAAAGGGAGATGGGAAGGCACAGGCATGTCATCAAGTAAACTTTCTGATTTACTCCATCCATCCATCCATCTTCTGAACCCGCGAAGTCCACGTAGGGTTGTTGGGGGGCTGGTGCCTATCTCCAGCGGTCAACGGGCAATCAGGCGGGGTACACCCTGGACAGAGAGCCAGTCCATCGCAGGGCAACACAGAGACACACAGGACAAACAATCACGCACACACACACTCACACCTAAGGACAATTTAGACAGACCAGTCAACCTAACAGTCATGTTTTTGGACTGTGGGAGGAAGCCGGAGTACCCGGAGAAAACCCACACATGCACAGGGAGAACATGAAAACTCCATGCAGAAAGATCCCAGGCATGGAAGCGAACCCAGGACCTTCTTGCTGCAAGGCAACAGCTCTAACCACTGCACAGCTTTCTGATTTACTCAATTACAAAATTTAAAAAGTATTGAACTATACCACTATATAGGTTCATTTGAGTTTGCATTAAAAAAAACTCACAGACGCCAAACATTAATATCAGATTCATTTAGTTATTCAGGGAAAAAACATCCAATTTTCACCATTCATTCAGCTGGTTTATTTACACATTTAACACACTTATTTTAATACTTTTAAAATATTTGTACAAAATACACTGTTCTCCCTTTATAACATGTGAAGAAGCATTCTTCAGCAAAAGGTCAGCAGATGTGAACTGTTACATTATGATATTATTGCATATCATTGTTATTGCATAATTCAGCTCCTTTGTTGTGGGCTTCGGTATGAAGGAGGTGCTGTTCCTGTAACTATCACTGCACCAGCTCGGTGGACGTTTTCTGGGAAGGCTTGACTGGAAAATTATAATAAATAGAAGTTTGATACACCTGAGGTTAGTTAGAAACTGATGGGAACAAACGCTAAAGCGCAGGAATTAAAGCAACACTGCTTTCCTAACGTTTAATCAGTGTTGATACTGGAGAGGAAAAGAGGAACACACTATCAGACTGGAGTAACAGTGTCTTCAGTATTGTTACAGACAGTGGTTGTTTTAATAAATGACTTTGAACACAACATCAAATCAGTTGGCAATAAAATCCATTCACTCACGCTGAAAAACACATGCACAAAACACACGTCCCACTCATTCAATTCAAGGTTTGTGTATAAAACAAGATGCTGAGAACCTTCCTTAAAGTTCAAAATATTCATTAAAGAAAGAAATCTCAATACCTGGTCAACTGTTTTTAAAACAGTACATTATATTAAGAAAAAAACATATAATAGTCTATATTTAGTTTTTTTTTAAGTGAATTTTATAAAAGTGATGGCTGGCACTGCTTGTGGTCCTGTATTCATGGGAACATGAGCAACCTTTTTGGAAAATACAAAATTTGCCTGTAATTTTCTTGACAGAAGCCACCGTTGCCATGATCACAGTTATATTCCACATGCACTGATTTGGCAAACATGAGTGCTTATGCCAGAGTGGCTGCCTCTTTTTCCTTAGAAAGCAACAACCAAACTGCATCCAAAAAAAAAAAAATTCCTGTACCTTCAACAGATTCTGAGGAGCCGTCTGCTAAGATTAACAGCTGCTCACAGGAATGCATATAAATAAGACTCAAAGTACAAGTGGAGGAGGGGGAATCTTCTCTAAAAATAACCCACAAAACAGACGGAGGCCAGTAAGGCAATGCAATCAGTCACACATGATCAAATTTACAATAAGAAGTTAGTATGTGGATTAATAGAAGAAAAGTATTAAAAATTCTTGGAAATGAGCTGCTCTAACACATTATCTTTCCTTTGAGATAGCTGAAGGAGTAGTGTGGCTTTAGCTACGTACACAGAGAAAAACAAAGCTTTACGCCTGAGCTACACGTGACCTTGGCCCAGTGGTGGATCTCTGAGGGAAGCACCTCCTGAAGCAGACATTTTTGGTCATTCGCTGAAATCCCCACGCTGTCCTGATAACTAAGCACAAAACACTAGGTTTGTGAAAAATCCTCTATTTGTGAGAATCCACTGTGATCCTCTTTTTAAAGTGTCGGTCAGTACCACAGTTGCTATGGATACTACCCTTCCCAGCAAGCTCTGGAGGAAGAGTTGAAGCACAGCAGAGAGGGACGTGAGGGCAAAATTTCTTCATTTTAACCTTCTCAAGTTCCACTTTAGAAGCAGGTTATCGTTCTTTTTGGTTTAAATGTTGAAAATAAACTTTTTTCATGATGTGAGCTCACCCACTTCAACATGTCATCTACTGAAACTGGTTTTGAAGGGTCAGGGTTTGGTTTAGTCTCAATTAGAACGTTTTTTTTTTCATCTATTAGTGAAGACTTTATGTGAGGAGGTACAGAAACTAACCAATTTCCTTTAACTGATATAACACAGGAACATGACATCCAACAAAACAAGGCTTTGCGCACCAATGGTGAAGATCTAAAAGTGATAAAATTGTGCGTGGAGTCATTTTTCATAGCTAACATCAAGCTGCTATTAGATATTTCATTTGCTTGATCCCTTCTTCTTTTCTGTTGACACACAGACTTACTTGAGAGGAAAGGGTCACAAAAAACAGTCAAATAAAAAGATAAATGGAAACACCACCACTCAAATGACATAAATTACAGTCCTTCTTTTCTTCTGAAGTTCGGTCTGCCTGATGTGAAATACAACGGATCATTTCACAAACATAAAAATAACCAAACACAGAACAAACGAATAAAAGAAGCTTTCTTAGAAATAAAATAAAATAAAAAGTGTGCTGCGAGGCTTGTTCATCCACAGATTTGGAGGCAATTAAAGTGCGTGTTGATCACTGTCAAAACTGTCCAGTGAAAACTTTATTCACTCGTTGCATCACGGGAAGGAGACCAGAGCAGATCAGTGGCAGGAGCATATATTACGCCGTTTTTGTTTAATCCCTCCTTTTTGTCCATCGATACAACTCGACCCTTTCACTCTTGGGTGGCGAGTTTTCTAAAAACCAAATCAACCAGTAAATCCTCTGAATCTTGCTGCCAAACTGTTGCCTTCAGCTCGGTCTCTAAACGTTACACGGCTTGTACGCAGCTTTTTAATTTGATCTCATTTAGAATGAAAGTTTAAGATTTAAACTTCAACATAAGACACAGAGCTGTGGTGGGGTGAGTTTTTCTTGCAGCAAAGAAAAACTATGCTGGTTCTGAGGATAGCTGAAACCGTACAGACAATCGTTGCTAGATAGAGTAGGTGGAGCTCTCAGACTGCTGGTGGATGTAGCACTGGAAACTCTTGTCCCCAATCGGATGCTCCCTGGGGAAAGCAAAGAGAGAGATGGTGAGCTTGAGGTGAACACGTGGGTGCAGCTTTAAATATTCATGTAAGACACAGAACTCCAGGATGAAACTATAAAACAGCTTTAAAATAAAGATGCCACACGGCAGTACTTAAACTAGACGTACATGAATCTGTGTACAACTGCACCACCTGCTGGCTAAAACAAGAACATGATCTTCATCACAGAATATTTCCAACAAAACTCCCAAAGAACAAAGCACTTACTGGCTGCCGATCTTTGTCTTCTTGAACTTGTCCCGCTTGTACTTGGTGTGCTGCTGCTCCAATGTCTGTACAGCTGAAATGATCTGCTTTAGGGTTTTGTAAGTCTCCTGGGGGTCGTCGATGACAAAGCTGGAGTACTCCTCCTGTTCTGGCCCGTCGTACACAGACTTGCTGCCACAAGCCTCTGCAGATGGAGGACAGGGTGAGCAGCCGTGCAAAAAGGACAAGGTGCAAATACAGTTAGTTAAACTTCACGATTTTCCTGTATAAATTGTTGGTTGTTACAATAAAAACATTCAGTTAAATATATCATATAGGACACACACACAGTGATATTTGAGAAATGAAACAAAGTTTATAAGATTTACAGAAAGGGTGAAATATTTGTTTAAACAAAATTAGGCAGGTGCATAAATGTGGGCACTGTTGTCATTTTGTTGATTCCAAAACCTTTAGAATTAATTATTGGAACTCTAAATTGGTTTGGTAAGCTCAGTGACCTTTGACCTCCATGGAAAGGTGAATCCAATTATAGGAAAGATTATTTAAGGGGGCCAATTGTAAGTTTCCCTCCTCTATGAATATTCTCTGAAGAGTAGCAACATGAGGGTCTCACAACAACTCTCACATGAGCTGAAAACAAAGATTGTTCACATCATGGTTTATGGGAAGGATACAGAAGGCTGTCTGAGAGATTTCAGCTGTCTGCTTCCACAGTTAGGAACATTTTGAGGAAATGGAAGACCACAGGCACAGTTCATGTTAAGGCTCCAAGGGGCAGACCAAGAAGAATCTCAGATAAACAGAAGTGAAGAATGGCGAGAAGAGTCAGAGTCAACCCACAGACCAGCAGCAAAGACCTACAACATCATCTTACAGCTGATGGACATTTGGACAAACTAGCTTCATTTTGGAATAAGGTGCTGTGGACTGATGAAACTAAAACTGAGTTATTTGGGTGTAACAAGGGGCGTTATGCATGGAGGAAAAAGAACACAGCATTCCAAGAAATGGAATCTGTCATTCCAGCATGACATGAGAATAAAACACAACGTGTTTAAGCTCTGTTTGTCAGCGACAGAAAAACATTTAACGTGAAGTCGCAATCTTAAAAAACAGATCGAGAGACTATTTGTGTGATATGCTTTTCAGCCACTAGATGGTGCCATCAGATAAGCAAATTACTCCAGAAAGAGACTTTAAAGAGGGACTGCACACCATCAGAAAATGTAACTCCACCCTAGTCAATATTTGAAAAATGCCATGAAAGTGGGCATTGCCAGGAGGCACAGAGTGGCATGGCCAAGTGTGGGGAATTTCCATCCTGGGAGGGAGGGGGAGCGGGAGGAGACCGTACTGATGACGTGAAATTGTACCAGCCCCAGTCAATCACAAGTTTAAAATGCAGTAGCCGCTGTTCTGCCACAGGGGGCAGCACTAAGACGTTTTTAGACCCAGATTCTAGATTTAATCAAGTTTACACAAACATGTAAAAAAAAATGCACAGAAACAGAAAGATTGCATTAGTAAAGACCCAATTATACAGTTTATAAGCAAAAAAGTTATTTTGGGGTTTAGTTACTCTTTAAATGATAAATGACCCGCACTTGTATAGCGCCTCTCAGAGTAAGGACTCCAAAGCGCTTTACACTACAGTGTATCATTCATCCATTCACACACACATTCACACACTGATGGTGATGAGCTACAGTGTAGCCACAGCTGAAGCCACAGAATCTTTAAGTGAAATATTTTATCATAACAACCAATGATTTATACAGGAAAACCATGAAGATTAACAAGGCTGCCCAAACTTTCGTATCCCACAGTAAACTCAAGCAAAATATCTAAAAAGGCTCTAAACATCATCACTGTCAGTATCTGACCTTGCATCTTGATCAGTTTGGTCATGTATGTGCTGAAGAGGGAATAAATCCTCTCTGTCTCTCGGTCTCCGTCTACGTCCAGCTGGATGTTTGCAGGGAGGCCACTGAAAATAAATGCAAACATGTGTGCAATGAGAAACAGAAAATGAGCTGAATCTGAGGTTTGACTGATTTTCGAGGCTTTGTGTACCCGGTGCAGGGCGTGCACCCAGGAGCAGAGTCTGCTGAGAGCTTGCAGCAGAGCCAGTGGCCGTTGAGGTAGGCTGAGGGGTGGTAGGTGCTCAAACGTTTGCGGTTGCATTGACTGACTTTGGTCAGGATGTCGATCCAGTCTCGTGCCTCTACGCAGTTGTTGGCCTGGATGTAGAGCGCTCGCTCTGGCTGGATAACTTGAAACATCTGGAGAAGGTAAACAAAAAAAAAAAACAGGCTGCAGGTGAGTGAACGAGGAACTCAAAAACCTGTAGAAGACGCTCTGGGAGAAAACACTGAAGAAGCAGAAATCTTTACATTTTTCATCTTGAAAGACTCCTCCTCCAGCCTCTCCACAGCCAAGATGTTCTCGATAGGAATGCTGCACAGAGCTCCCTCCCCTGGAGACAAGATGGGTGAAATAAATCACCACTAAAAAACTATCTCGACAAATCACTTTTCCAGCATTCTCTGTGTTTCCATACGTTTCTTGCAACATGCATGACAACAAACATTAGTTTTAAGACTGAAAATCAGCATTTTCAAATCCAGCACAATGCATTGTGGGAAAAATAATTATAATAAAAGCTTTTCTACAATAGTGCATGCGTGGTCCCAGTTTGTTGGGTAGCATAAACAAATTGCCTGCTCAGTAACTTAAATCTCCCCCACATGTGCTGGAAGATGAGTGTGCAGACTAAATGCACGCTCTGCAGATCCCCCCCCCCCCACTGCTGATTCAAACACAAACAAAGACACAAACAGATGAGGAAACGATGCTGCAGTAAGATTATCCCATGAACCCGCTGACCCAACCTTTCGTTTTGTGATACGTGAACTCGTGGTTGGTGAGGCGGAACCATCTCTTCTTAAAGTTCTTCATTCCGAACCGGTTTCTCCCCTGAGCTCTCTTTATCATAAATCTGAAGGGAAACAGAAAAAAAAAACTTCTTTCACATGTTGTTTTTCTCACATAATACACAGCCCACTTCAGTCTACTGTTGCATACAGGGAATTAATAACAGAGCATAAAAGGGAAACGTTGACTCTGGCTGCAACCCTGTGTAACAAGTTACATTAAGAAGGCACCTTCTCTTCAAGTGTTCACTTCTATTTGTTAGCCTTTCTGCAATAGGGTCTAGGACACTGACTCTGTGTTTTATTGTTTTTCCATCCATCCGTCCATCCATGTCTGGCCGCTTATCTGGGGTCGGGTCACGGGGTCAGAAGCCTAAGCAGGGAGGCCCAGACTCCCCTCTCCCCAGCTACTTGGGCCAGCTCTTTTGGCGAATCCCAAGGCGTTCCTTGGCCAGCCGAGAGACATAGTCCCTCCAGCGTGTCTTGGGTCTTCCTTTAGTTCTTCTCCCAATTGGACATGCCTCACCAGGGAGGTGTCCAGGAGGCGTCTTAATCAGATGTCCGAGCCACCTCAACTGGCTCCTCTCGATGTGGAGGAGCAGCAAATCTACTCCGAGCCCCTCCCCGATGATGAGCTTCTCACCCATCACTAAGAGAGAGCTCTTATTCTTGTCTCCTTTTGCTTTTAAGATAAATTGTATCTACTGTTGAATTTTTGCTGTTTTTTGATGCTCTTATAATATTGCTTTTGTTCTTATCACATCCTGTGTGGGTTGTGGAAAGTGCTGAATAAATAAAAATTGATTGACTGGTATTGCAGCTGCTGAACTCAGATATATGAGTCATAAACAACAGATGGCTTCGCGGTTTGAAGGTGCTTTGCATTTTTTACTTAGTATTTCAGATTTTTTTCCAACTCTCATAGACTACTATCGATTTAGATTTTATGTAAGTGTAATGTCCGGTGAGAAAATGTAATACTAGAGTCCTAAATAATCAATTAAAATAATTTTCAAAGCTTCCATTCCCCTCTAAATTACAGTTGTATTTTACTGTCTAAAAATGTTCCTTTGGTCCAATCCCAATACTCCCACTGTGCCCTGAGGTCTTCGGAGAAAGTGCACTTGGAGGAAGTGCACAGTTAGGCTTCAAGTGTGTGGTATACAAGTGTGCAAATAATTGCTGAATTGGGACAGGAAGCATTACCTCATCAACCTCAACGCATGCTGGGATACTGGTCACTGTGATACTTTAAAAACCTTTATTAACAACTTTCAAACAAACAACCAAACAATTATTTGAAATAAATTTACATTTATTGCTGCTTTGTCTAAAACATTCAACATTAATTAATTATCCTAAAATGAACTACTTTGATTTGAAAATACATATTTTCGGACGAGGCACTTGAGCCTTTTATCCTGCAGCAATGGATTGTGGGTAATATACTTCACCCAAGTCGGATCAAGGGTGCAAGGACACCCTACGCACTCGCTGTCTGGCCAGGATCGCGCAATTGAAGGGCACAAGTGTGGAAGTGCGAGTATTGGGATTGGGCCTTAGGAAAAGAAAAGAACAAAAAACTCATTTTAAACCTGTTAATTGGCAAATCAACCATTTGATAGAAACTTAAAGAGAGATCGTATAGTTTTTACCAGTAATCTCAGGAAATATGGATCAAAATGTTGTTGAAAATTAATCAAATGATGCTCATTTGTTGAAAATTATTGGCGGCTTTGTAACATTTAACCATAAAAATCGGGTGTAAGTCTCTGGACGATGCCACATGTTTCTGTCTACAGGAGCCTGTGAGGACAAAACCTGATTTGTAACAAATGGTTACAAAACTTTCACCATTCATAAACGTTGTTTTACACATTTGCTCTTCACTCGTTGCCAGAGATGAAAGGGAGTCTGATGTGCTTGTCATTATGCTGGAGGTTGCGCTCTCAGACATTTATGACCCTAATGGCCTTCCGTTGTTAAAGTCTTATCCAAACAAAAAAAAATACTGTTTGCTTACAATGATTTAGGTATGTGCTTCCTCCTGTTGCCAGGCAAAATACACATTGTCCCTTTAAATTCTAAATATAAGAATATTACCTCACATTAATGTTATTTTTACGGTATATTATAACCTTATTTTGGCAAATTAATAAAAATAAAAAAACAATACATCTGTTGTGCTTTTTGCTTTGTGCAGAATTTAGAGGCTAATATGAAAAATGACTTAATGTGTGCAAAGTCTACTGTAACAGAATGGATTCAGCGCCAGTCAGACATAGAAATATGAAGAACCAATTATTTCATTCAATGGAACGTCTATTTATGAAACATGCTTTAAGATTATAAAAGGCTCCTTTGTTCCAGCGTCAGAAGGATCCTGAAAGGGAGTGTCAGCAGCAGGATGTCGCTGGTTCAGAGTCATACAAAAGATTTCAGGAGAACTAGTTTCTAGAGAAGATAACTGCCTTTGCTACTCTCCCTCAGGAACATCCGGCATCTCTTTGACCTGCTCTGGTTCTGGTTTGGACACGACTCGGTCACGGTGTAGAGCAACCAGGCTGTGGGCAGACCCCAGAAATGTTTGTAGAGTAACAAACTCCTGATGCCACTGTCACACCAAGCCAGGGCTAAGCGCTAGTAACCCCTCTGAGGTAAGCAGGCTAAAGGTGGGCACTTTACTTCACAAAGTCACTGTATAGCTTTCAAAATAAACACAGATTTTAACCTGTAACATGTCAGAAAACATAACACCACTTCAAAAGGTGACTTGTACACAGGTGAGTTGTAAAGTAAAGTGCAGCAGCGTAAATGTTGGCGGAAGAAAAATAAAAGCCATGGGGAGGAGCATCACGGTGCAAACACAACATGAGGGTCACAAGGGCAAATCCTCTATACGCAGAAGCTCTTACCTGCCCTTTGTGCCTTTAGACCCCTTCCCATCAACTCTCTTTATAGTGACTTTTAAACTCCTACGCTCCGTTAGCAGAAACAAAAGAGGGTGAGGAAGTTGATGAGCGACAAGCTGCCACAGCTAGTCATCTGGAGGATCTGCTTCTCATTACAGCCTCGTTACATATCAGCAGCCCAAACCATTAAAAACCGTTCCTTTTCCAACTTCCCAACTGATCTTTAATGCTATATTTCATTTTTTCTGTTTTCAGTGAAAATAATTAAAAAGCTGGATTGAAATGAGACTGGAAATACAAGGGTTGCACTATTACATTGGCCCTTATCTCTTTATGAAATGGTAAAATGTCAGAATGGATGTGTATTAATTAGGCACGTGAGTTGGATAAATGAGCTGATTTACATTAACCATAAAAGGCCAAATGTTTGCATACTTTGAAGTTTTTATGACTTTTACCCTTTAACAGTTCTTACCTTCCTCAAAAAACTCCTCTCTGGAATCCAACTCATGTCTTCTAGCCTCTGGTGGAATATTTGAGTACCGCAAGTGGCAAGTACCCTTTTATTTTTATTATCTGTAACATTTTGGTGTATTAAAATAGTGTATATTTAATTTTATAGCACCGTTAGCTCAAAATATTGTTTTCATTTAATTCTTTTGATTATTTTTCATGCTTTAAAGAGTTTTACATGTTTTAAAATGGAATGATGTAACAAAACTGTCAGAGTACAGTATTTAAGTTTGATAAAATATAAAAATTACTTCTTTAAACTGTACTGAAAGAGTCGGCCATATCTTTTCATCTTCATTGATTTTTTTCACATTGACACAACTTCTTACCCTTCTTTGAGCATGATTGGTGTTTCGATGCTTTTCTGATCCCATTTACCAGAGGTGGAGATCAGGTCCAGGAACTGTGAAAGCACAACAAGGAAGTCATTTATTATGATGTTTATTAGCATGTCCACTGTTTTATTTCTTTATCAAGCAGAACCACAGTCGTGATTTGATGATCAAACACAGCACATTTCCTCAACCAGTTTATTTTCACAAACTTTTAGATCAAATTAGGAAAAAAAAAACATCTAAAAACACAACTGACTGTGAGAAAATCCAAACCAGACACTCACATTCTTCACAGCGTCTGCGTATTTCTGCTCGTTGAAGTAGTCGTAAAACGCAGCCATGTAGGACTCTTTGAAATTGGCCTTGAAATGAAAAAAAAAAGTCCACAAATAAAACCTTGTTTTTTAAATGATCAGAATTATAAAATCTGATCATTGAAATTTGAGCAGACTGACTCACAGATTTGGACTTGGCGAGACTTCCAAGAGTCTGTATGGTCTTGGAGATGAGGGTGAGGGTTCTTGAGGTGGCTGGATCCTACAGAGATGGAAAAGATGTGAAATTACTTACAAATGAAAATGAGAAAATAAACACTACAATCCTACAAACAGACAGCAGAATGAGGTGTGCATGTTTAGTTAAATAATTGTCTCACTGGGTGGTGTGGTCGTAGGTGGAACAAGTTGGGGGACAGGATGGCCGGAGCGAAGAAACGCAGGAAGATGAAACTGCTGACCGCTGTGTATCGAACATCTTGGTCGACTGGAGCAGAGAAAAACAAAGACAGGGATCTTTTCCAGACATTTTACCTGCTTCGGTTACTTCCTGTCTGTACTCAGAGTGCTGTGAACCACATAATGCTTTGTTTACAGAAACAGAGACTGTTTTTAGTAAAAAAAAATAAAATAAAAAAAGTAACTGACTGAACAAAAAACATATTATTTAGCCACAGAAAAAATCATTTAAAAATATATTAAATTAATATATTTTGTACTCCCTTTGTGGTGCGGGTAGGTGCCCTATGGGGGTGCTCTAACAGCTACATGGCTGCTAGCTGTTATGCTAGTGGTTAGCATTTTCAGTTCACAAATCGTTAAAAAAAAGCACAAGAAGAAGAAAAAGAAGAAGTTTGCTTTTTTGTTTGCATTATGGCAGAACCTGAAAGTGAAAGTGAGAGAGTAATTTCTTTGAAGGCAAAGCAAAAAGCTAAAATCAGAGTGAACATCGGTGTGGCCTACACTAGTTTGAGGAAGCTAACGGAGGCTACTAAACCATGGACTGATGGTGACCTGGCTTTGTTGCTACTGGACTTGTAAGTTACCGTAATTTCCGGACTATAGAGCGCACCTCAATATAAGCTGCACCAGCAAAAAAAAAGGTTTTCTACACACACACGCCGCACTCAAATACAAGCCGCTGCGCAGCAGCCACATGCAGGTCTCCGACGCGCAGCGCATGTATGGCCATGACATAAGATAATTAGACAGAAAGACGCTACACGGAAGTTTTTCATTGTTGTTTTAATTCAACAAAACGAATTTTAAACACGGGTGAACGTGCTTACAAGTTTAGAAAAGAAAACAGCACCGATAGCATTCATATTTCTATTACTGGTAATTTGCATGCATGTTTAGAAGAAAAGAACAGCGCTGACACAGCATTAATAAGCCCCGGATGATTAGAAAATAAAAACTGCACACAAAACATGCCTGGTTAGTAATGATCTGCACAGTGGAAACACCTCGGCTGTCTGCTCTTTGTGTGTTCACCCAGTCTTCAAGAATGTTTTCCTATTCCGGCCATCTGCTTTTATTTCCTCTGAAAGCTTTTGTCGTTTTTTTACATTGACTGCGTTCTTCCCGCTGCCGCCTCCAACATCGCACCATTGATTCATTTATGCCAAGCTCTAGTGCGGTGGCGCTGTTTCCTTGTTTGATGGCCAGATCGATCGTTTTAACTTGAAAGCTGCAGCATATGCATTCCCCCGCGTGTTTTCCATGACGAGGGTGTGTCTGATGTGTAAACTTGCCGCTTTAAGTCAAAGAGCGTCTTCTCCCCCGCATAACGTTTTGCCGTGCCTGTCTCACTTTACTGCTGGAGAGTGCCTCTAGTGGTTGTTGGCCAACAAAAATCTACACATGAGCCGCACCATGATATTGGCCGCAGGCTTCAAAGCACAGGGAAATAATAGCGGCTTGTAGGCCGGAAATTACGTTATATTATTTTTTGTTCAACAGTGTGGGTCTTTTTACTTCATGGTTTAATTTATAGTTGGCACATGTTAGTGTTAGCTCGTTGTTAGCGCTAGCTACAACAGGCTGCTGCAGGGTTGTCTATGACAGCTGTAATTCCACTATCCACCAGTAGGGTGAAAGAGGAGGAAACTCCTCAGCGTTACTTTAAACACTGGAACAATTGACTATTTGGTGTTTGATTGGAAGTGTTCTATTTGTTGTACACATTTTATACTTTTATCTGTTGTCTTTGCTTATTGTATTTTATTTCTCATTTTATCTATTTGTCTTATAATATAGACACGTTTTTGTCAGGAATAAAAATGGATGGCTTTCAAGTTGTAAATGTTCTAACTTTATGCAGCAAAATTCTTTCAAAATAAATAAAATATTCTTGTGACTGCAATGCCTAGAGATGGCCAACAGGAGGAATCCTTGTTCATGATAGTCCAAAAATGTGTGTGTGTGTGTGTGTGTGTGTGTGTGTGTGTGTGTGTGTGTGTGTGTGTGTGTGTGTGTGTGTGTGTGTGTGTGTTTGAGGGTTGTTTTAAGTACTACTCAAGACAAAAACACAAATCCAGTTCTTTGACTTCAATTGTCTCCTGTCAGTGGCTCAGGAAGTGAGTTACCTTGGAAACGTGTGGCAGCAGACTCCCTCAGAGAGAAGAAGATGTCACACATGACGGTGGGACAGCGAACACCAGAGGTGGTGATGACATTGAAGATGCGATCTACATAGAGACGAAGGTTTTCCTGCAGAGGGGGGAGGTGGGTCAGAGCAGTCAGATAACAGGCTGGTACTGAAATGCACACGCACACACGCACGCGCGCGCACACACACACACACACAGACAAACTTGTTCTTACCCTGTTCGTTTCCAAGTTCTCGGACTCTTTGAGCTTGACTGGATCGATTTCACAGGATTTGTGTTCTGTGCAGATCTGTGACGATATTAATCAGATATATTTTTTTACGAGACTTTCTATGTGATAAAATGATAAATATGTGGGTTGATGGTATGATCATACCTCATCTATGATGGGTTTAAGTGTGACTTGCAGATAGTGCATCCCAGCAAGCTTCATGGTCTCATCAATGCACTTTGAAGTCAGGGAGTTTCCTCTGAAAATGGTGTTTGGATCCCTGCAGGTGAAGATTCCAAATGTGAAAAGTCAACAATACAATGCTTTCATATGCAAACTGAACCTTAGTACAAAGGCAGCCTTTCTATTAATAATAATAATGCTAATAATATTAATCATGCAACCATTCTATGTTCATGTTAGAGCTAGAGTCTCAAAGCCACTCACTGTGTTCGGTTGATCTCTGCGTGAGCAATGGCGCTGATGAAAGGCACTATTTTGCCATAATGAAGGAAGAGACGCACAAGCGGAATGGCGGCTTCCTGTTTCTCTCGACATACCTCCCCCAGAGTGTGAGCGGCGGACGCCGACACGGGCTGGACGCAGACGGCGGACGAAGTTGAGAGGTTAGTGGTGCAGGATGGGTCAAGGGACAGCAGAGGGGAGATGCATTCATGTACCTCGACGTTTGCAGAGTCCAACAGCAGATCTCTGAGAGGAGTGTAGTGTTCAGAGGGGAAGACGTGGTCCTCGGTATAGACAATGTTCAAACGCAAAGAGCCAAGATCTTCCACCTTCACAGACTTCCCTCCGTTTTCTCTGGGCTGCAGAAAGTACCTAAACATAGCAATGATTAAAAATATTTGTTTAAACCTGAAATAAATTATGTAAATACATACAGCCTTTAAGAATGAGCTGTTTCAGGGCTCCGTCACTTTAAGAAACAAAAAAAATAAAAAACTGGAGCTGGCTACCCTTCTCCGCTCAGGCTACTCTAAGCTGAGAAGCTCCTACATCTGGGAGTGCTCGGCGTAGAGCCGCTGCCCCCCAGTTCTCCCTCTTCCACACTTGTGACCCTCATTTGTGCATTCGCATCCAGGGGTGTATAGGGTGTCCCAGTTCTCAAGTGTGGACCTTGACTCCGCCTCTTTTACACCCTTGATCCGCACTTTGCCGAAGTCTGCATCGATGCAGTGCATTTAGGAAGCCATGTTTGATTATATTTTCCTTATATAGGAAACTTTTTATTGATTGGCTTAATGAACTGACTTGTATTGAAATGTTTACTATGTGAAGTGCCATGAGACAGCCCTTTTAGTGATTTGGCGCTATATAAATAAATTGAATTGAATTGAACTGATTAAACAATTCTCACTGTCCAAGTTAGGTAGTTATTTGCACACTGTTTACTACGCACTCGAAGCCTTACATACACTTCCTCCAAGTGCACTTCATAGAGGTTTGTAGGCTGCACTGTGGGTATTGGGACTGAGCATCAGGCTCTAATCAGATAAAAATTTTCAGAACATGGTATAGAAATGTGTTGTGAAAAGGTGGTGAAAGTTTAATAACACACAAAACCAAATAGCACACTTTTACATCCCATAATTTAATGGTTTTGGTTTAGGATTGTAGTTCGGTCTGTCTATTAAAGAGATACTATGCAGTTTTGGCTGCTTTTAGCACCCCCTAGTGTCTGTTTGTAAAACCAAAAAGAGGAACTCTTCTCCTCGCTGTGTGTTCCTCTTTTTAACACTTTAATCTAACTGCTGGAATGTCTTCTCAGCCTTCATTAGTTTCTACAGGAGCATTTCATCACTAAATCAAACAAATCAGTGGTGTTCACAATCTAAAACATGCAGGAAACATGCTGGAAGCAGACCCCCTGCGTCCAACAGGGACCAGACCGGCAACTCTCAAGTTGCAAATGCAGTATTTTGGCCACAGAGAGCGGTGGGGTCTCAGTGACATTTCATTAACCCTGTAAATGGTCAAGAAAATGATTTAAAAATATGAAAAAGTTGCATAGTATGCCTTTAGATATTGGAAAATATAAATAACTCAATTAATCTTGAGCTGGATCACACATCTATTCTTGCTAAATTCTAAAAATTGTTCAGTTAAAAAAAAGCTACATACAGAACCCATAAAGAAAAGGGACACACAGCAATACAACAGGAGCAAGCTATCACTGCGTCAACCTGACGAGGGAATATAAAATCAACATTGTTTTACTGAACAATCACGATAATAAATCACAGTGCATTAAGTGCCAACCACAGCCGACATGTGTTGAACGTGCCCAAGTCCATACTTACGAGAGCACCATATGAGCACCTGTGTGCGTACCCGCGCTTGTATATGTAAGGTTTCTCTATAGGAGCGTCCAATAGAGAGTGTGAGGGGCCATAGATCTGCCCCCCAAAGATGCCTAGGAGATGGAAGGAGCTCCAAGTCTCAGAGATCCAGGAGCTGCCCCAGAGCACAGGGACCCCAAGGAGACTGCAACCAGTAAAGCCCCTGCCCCCCTCAAGAGGCGCAGAGGATTGCCCCGGGGGGCCACAACCAGCAGCCGGCAGAGTCCCGGGGGATGTCAGCGGCAAGCCCACAGGCCCGCCCGCAGCCTCCCATCCCCAAGCCGGGATGGGACCCAGCGACCCCGGGACCCAGCGACCCGGGACCCAGGGGCGACCATTAGTTAATTTTGCTCAAATAGAAATTGAGGCCTGCCTCTAATTCTCGTCCTCCTTCCAATAAAGGCCTGGAGCTTGATGAGCTTGAGTAAAATACAGGCCCGAGCCTGTATTAGAGGATTTACGGTATGTATGTATGTATGTATATATATATATATATATATATATATATATATATATATATATATATATATATATATATATATATATATATATATATATATGTATATATATATATATACTATATATATATATATATATACTATATATATATATATATATATATATATATATATATATATATATATATATATATATATATATATATATATATATAAACATAAACACTCCAGTGTACAACTTATAAGCATTACATTACATTAATGCTTCTACTGTCATTCAGTTCAATTCAATTCAAAGATACTTTATTAATCCCAGAGGGAAATTAGAGTTTCAGTACACACAATTCTGAGATCAGACATACATAAATAGGCATACACACATGACAAGAATTGGTGACTGTGGTCATTCGCAACCCGAGTCGCGCTACCTTAATAGAGATCAAAGGGGTTTACATGAGGATTGGGTCAGGTGGAGGAAAAAAAGGAAGCTTTGCTGTGCAAAAAAACACCTCAGACAGAAATGCAAAAGACTTCAGACATTACACAACATAAGTGTCCACTGGGTGGGGGGGTAGGGTTGGGGACTCTCCACATGTCAGTGCATGCAGCCACGATAAGCAGCACTCGTCACCTCAGTCTTGACAGGGGGAGGAGGTCGTTGGGTTTAGAGGGCACAGTGACTCCTGGAACGATTCAGCGGCCTTCACAGCTCGCAGTCCCGCCCAGGCTGGGATAGGGAGACAGAGTTGCCATGGTGATGGCAGCATTCCACTTTTCTTCTGAGGGGGGTTATTCGTTTCAACCTCACAGGCTCAAGGGCACCAGATTCAGATAAGAAATTGTTTTGGAGCAAGACAGAGATAATTTCTTCTCTGTCTTAAAGTTCCGTTGGTCCTCAACTTCTCAAAATCCAATAATGGCGCAAATGAATCTATCCCAATCCGTGCTGATTCGTCCACTCACTCCTTGATCGCATCCATCTTTTGTACCAGAGCCTGAATCTCAGCCAAAGTTCCAAGCTTGCGACTCATCTCGACAATTATATGAGTCTGTGAGTCTACAGCACAGTGTAATCCATCCCTGAGCTCCGGGAAAGAGCCAATATTCCTCGACAGCTCGTTAATTTTCCGGTAAGCCAGGTAACCTCCCAGGCCAAAAAGCAGGAAACCTGACACCAACACCACGAATATCCATACGTCTTCAGAATCCTCTACAGACAGTTGATTATCCAGTAGGCCTGAACATCTGTAGGTGTGATGTTTCCCCATAGATGCCCAGCAGTGTCAATCTTGTATAGAAGAGCTGCCACATAGACACATTTCTCTGCAGCACCGGCCATACATATACAATGGGCCCTCTCCACCACCCCAGTAGACGTTAGGATCACCCAGGGCTGCAGGGGCCTCTGTCTGAGGTGCATAGAGTGATTCACCTGAAACAGTGAGCACAGAGAAACATGTATTAGAACTGAGGATCTCAGATTGGGGTATATACTTTCAGTGTGCATTTTTTATATACAAGTAGTTCATGACAGACTTAAAAAAATTTGCAGGGTTTACACACTTAGGGGTGTTATTCGGTTAATGTTATGGTTCTGGATGGTTATACTGTACAGCCGCCCAGATATCTAAGCGTTACTTTGAGAAACTGCATTTAAGTGCTGTGTAACAGCTCAGCTTGTTCTTGAATGAGTCATGAGCATGTCAAAGATTTTTGCTATAGCTTATTTTGTTTCTTTCTGACCTTAAAGAAAAAGTTGTGCAAGTGTATCTGTTAACAGGCTCACTGTTGCCACAATACAGCTCTGTAGTCCGTAGTAAATAAGTTCCTCACTACATATTCACCTTATAAAACAAAGCATTTAGAGACAAACAAAAAAATATTTAGCTTCCACATTAAACAATTACCCCTTATTTTTAGCAATGACATCACAACTGATTTTTATTAGAACCTTCATCTACGGATTTGTCGAGATTAATTATAACATCTACATGAGAAAAAGGTTGACTTACCTTCGTGCGCACAACGGTCTTCAGTCCGACTCATTTCGAGGTCCTGCACCCACCCGTCGGTAAATTGGACTGGGGCTTGTTGCAGAGATCTGACGTTACTAAACACTTCATGGGTGTATGCACTCACACTTAGCACCATGTGTATGCGTGAGTAAAGTTGGGCAACACGCTAACGTCTTTGCTCCAGTCTTTGTGTTCGTAGGGGTCTAACCCGTTTAATCCTTTGATCTTCTCCTCGTACCTTTCTCTAGATTTTGCGTCGAGCCTGTCTTTGTACGGACCGGGAGCAGTCTCCTTCGTTTTATACATCCTTGTGAATTAAGAGAGGTTACATTCCTTTGCTAGTTTACGCCACAGAAGGACTGTTTGGAGATGTAAACACCGAGCCCAACAGAGAAAAACTGTGTCTTCCGGGTTTTTAAATCTCCCTCCTTCCTCAATTCCTACAATGCACCGCGCGTAAGTCACGTGGTCTGTCAATCTCAATATAGCAGCAAAAGAAGTCCCAGGAGAGGGGAGGAGTCAAAGGCCCCACCTGACATAAACAGTCATACACAAACACAGTCACACACTCCCTCCCTCATGCTCACACATACAACCTAAGACTCACAAAAATGGACACCAGACACCCACTCATGCTCCCCATACACACCCTATTCACTCTGGTCCCGGTACTGCTGCACAAAGGGTACAAACATCACCGGTTCCAAGAGTTCAACCCTTTCTGCTGGGGGTGCTTATGAGCTGACTCCCCCGCCCAACGCAGAGCACAGCAACCCACCACCCAGACCCCAGCCAGACGGCCAGATCCCCCTCCTAGCCTCCAGCCCTGGGAAGCCAAGCGACAACAGAGGTGTGCTAAGACCCCTAGTCGCCCTCCGCCTGCTCCAATACATTCGGACAGCAGAGAATCAAAAAGATCAGAGTGATGATGGGGTCAATAAAAGGGGCATGCAAAAGGAAATGCTCCTCTCTCACCAGGCATCGTGTACTCCAGCTTGACCCAAAACCCTCAGCGGGACGCGAACGCCTCCCAGGAACTCGTCCCCAAACTTCAGGTTGCTGGCGTTCCACAGATCCACCCTGAGCAGGAACAACACAGCGCCGCTGAAATACGGGGAAAAACTCAGACACACCAAGTTCACGTCGGATTAAAGACGGACTGACTCACCTCAGAGCCAGTTTGTCCACATCCTCCTCTTCAACATCAAACTGACGCTTCGTGTAGCTCGGTGGCCGCGTAACCTAAAAACAGAGTTAATAATGAAAGTGTGGGTAAATGACAGAATAATTATTTTGTGTTTGCGAGGAGAGGTCATGATTCAAACGGAAAGCACAGTAGTTCTGTTTTTGTGTGATTAAGGGATAACTAAGGCTGTCTTGTCAGATCTGAATAGGACAGATTGTTTGGATCATCTGAATCAATCATACTCTTGTCCTGCTTTCTGCTGGAGCTGCGGCGAAGAGGCTGGAGGGCAGGGCGGGACAAAAAAAATGTCAGCAAACGAGGATTAACAGGGACAGCATGGAAAGGAGAGTAAACTGTGACTAATTAACTGCTTAGTGGAATCAAATATATCCAGCTTTTGTCAAGATGATCTGCTGACATTTTAATGTTTAAAGAAAGGGGGGAAATCCTGCTAAAGCGAACTTTAGTATGTATTGTTTTTATGATAAAAAAGTGAACGACTTGAGTTTGACATGTGGTTTCTCATGACAGAGGCCTTCGTGTGATGGGGAAAAATACCATCAAACTTACTTCTTAAGACAAGTTCTTTAGAAATTACCTCAAAGTAGAAAACCTCGTCAAACTGAGGGTTGTTGGTTTTCCTCTTGACTTTTGTCTTCTTTGCTTCGGACCTGAGGGGATGAAAAGAAAAGAAAAAAATCTTGATGTTGCTTTCTTCCTACAAATAAAACCACAAAGAAAATCTCACCTTGACAGACCGAGCAAGGAAACAGCAGCGTAGGGATCACACTGGCCGTTGACGATCGGAAGCCCTTGGCACTCCAACACACTGTTAAATCCAAAGATTCATGCATTAGAACAATCAAATCGTGAAAGATGAATTAGTTTAAAAAACAGACTGCTGGAAAACCTTTAAAGGGGTCTCAACGTGACCTGAATTCATCTCACAGGAGCTTTTAAACACCATTTAATTCCATATTATTACCTCATAAATAATTGATGGAAAAGGATCACAAGTGCATTTATTTCCACTGAGAATAAAACCCTAATCCTACACCTCCACAAGACTTTCAGCTTCATTAGTGCCCACACACAGGCCCAATGTTTCCATCAGCCCTCCTGCGAGGCAGAAACCAGAATCTCTCACTGGGAAACAAGACGACAAGAGCGTGTGTGCTAGTCTAACACAAAACTATGACAGATTATATTTTTGATCTTCTAATCTGACATTAATCTCTCAGTAGGATGGTAATCACACTGACGATAAAACCACTGTTGTTTTATTTTGTAGGTTAAGTTTGGTTTATGCCTGATAAATAATGATAAATATGCACATGTAAAAAACTAGAGGATGGACAGTCATTAAATAAGCTTAAATATTAAATGGTGCATTTGCTCCACCAATATCACTTGTTTGAATTTAAAAGCATGATATGGAAAGACTTTTACAGATTTTAACCATCCTCCCTACAAAATATTATATTGTTAGAGCAGGAAAATCTACTGGTCCCATAAAAGTAAGATTAAACCATGTCTAAATAGTAGTATGACTACTATAGAGTGTGGCACAGTGATATTTTATTATTATTATTTGAGTAAAAAGAAACAGTTTCATGTAAGTAAAATTACACCATGCAGTTTTTCAAGAATTTACACATTTGGAGAAAGGAGCAAAACACGTGAAAACACACACACACACACACACACACACACACACACACACACACACACACACACACACACACACACACACACACACACACACACACACACACACGTATTTGGGGATTCAGTGCAGTTGCCCTCTGTCAAAAAGTAAAATAAAAACCTTTAACCTATCAGTGTCACTCAGCATTGAAAAAACACAAAGTTTGAATGTAAACACTACTCTAGTACTTGTTTTGTTAATTTAAAGTTACAGGGATATACTTCAGAGGGACCAAGAAGCCATGTCTGGCCCCAGAGCCGTAGATTGCAGACCATTGGGGTAGACAAACAAATGTTCTCTGCATTCTGACATCATCTTCATTCACACAGTTTTAATCTGTGTATGTGGTGTGTGTGCGTG